CCTGCCTGACCCTGCAGCCGGACTCCTGGCCATTGCTCTGCCCACCCTCTGGGCACAGAGGCTCTTGGTGTCCAGCAGGTAAAGGACGATTTGGTTCTGTCCAGCCTCCAAGGTCCCCTTTCTCCATGAGCCATGGAGACCCACTGTGGCCCACCTGGTTTGAACTATGTTCCTTTAGGTCCTGCTTAATCAATGGGTATGGAAAGAAACCAATCTTTAATATTTTTATTACTCAAGTAATGTGAGTGTATTATTATTATAAAAGATTCAAATGATCAGAATATGCCAGAAAATTCCCAATGGCCCACCCCCAACGAGAACTTACTGCTATCAAGAGTTTCATTTGTACATTCTTCTGATCATCTCTGTGTACATTTACAAAATTCAGAATTTTGCTCTGTTTTATTATCACACCACCTTTTCTAAGATACTTCTTTAATCATATGCCATAGACATTTTTCCATGATGGCACATATAGATCTATCTTCTTTTTTAATACGTAGCATTCCAATTTTGCTTTTGCCAAACTTCCTTACAAAATATATTTTTGTGCACACATGCAAGTAGATCACCAAGCTAGATTCCTAGAAACAAAATTCCTACGTGCTATGGGTTGAATCGTGTCCATCCAAAATTCATACATTGAAGTCCTAATCTCAAGCACTTCAGAATGTGAATGTATTTGAAAATAGTTTTGCAAATGTGATTAGTTAAGATCAGGTCACAAGGATAGGCCTTAACCCGTTTGACTGTTGTCCTTGTAGAAAGGGGAAATTTGGACGCAGAGACATGCCCACAGAGAGGATGTCATATGAGGATAAGGACAGAGATTGGGGTGATGCTTCTGAAAGCCAAGAAATGTCAAAGATGACCAGCAAACCTCCAGAAGCCCCAGGAGAGGCACGAAACAGACTGTCCCCCACAGTCCTCAGCCAGAGCCAGCTCGGCCCCAGGGAACCACGTGGCGAGAGTCGGGGAGGGTGTCAGGCTGTGAGGGGCTAATAAATAACGTCCTCCTTTTCTCTGCCTGAGTTCAGAACAATTGGCAGACAGACAGGGTTAAGCAGATGGAGTGCAAAACACCACAGTTATTACTGGGAAACTAGCTTTGTAGAGTGTAGCCTCATTGTTCGGCAGCAATGAGCTTCTCAGTACTGGAATCCCAGATACGGCCTATCGCAGCAGACGTGGCCAATTGCAAGTCTCCCCCGCAGGACGCTGACTCTGGTGAAATGACAGCTTAGAAGGCAAGCAGGTACACATTCCCCGAGAGAGGAGTGGGAGGAGGTTGAGCAGATCGTGTCTAGTTCCTTTCCTCAAAAGCACCAAATAGATGCCGCCCCTCCCCCTGGGAGTGCCAAGGGACAAGGTGAGACCAGGAGTCTTACCCTGGTGGAGGCGTCTCCACTTGGAAACCAGAGGAGCAGGGACCAGAGCCCCACCTCTTGCCGCGTAACGGATCACAGCCCTCCGCCGTCCACTGCAAGCTGGGAAGATGAGCTGTCTCCACCCATTTTCTCTCCCAAGCACACCCAGTCATCAGTAGAAATGCTCAGGTGTATGCGTACATGTTCACGCATACAAATGGATACACACTCCAGTCTGACTTTGAGACGCTCACAATCTCAGTCTGTTTATAAAATCCTCTTTTGTAAAAAAAAATCAAAAGCCAAAGCAGCATCAGTCACCAGCATGGACTGGGGTCAAAAACTAAACATCACAGGCGGCATCCCAGAGGGTCCTGGAGATGGAGTCACAAGAGCTCAGCCTCCGCTGGTGTGTGCTCCTTGGGGAGGGAGCCCTCCTGAGCTTCACTTTCCTTCTAGAATGAAGAATGAAGGTTCTAACCCTGTCGGCCAAGCAAGCTGACCTCACAGTGTTGTAGGGACCCAACAGCACAAGAGGGGAAATACTTTTAGTAATAAAGACGGTAACATTTTAAGCAGTGGCCACGCACCAGGCACTGTTCTAGGAGTTTCACCTGTGCTGACCCCTCCAGTCTGTAACACAGCCCTACGGAGCGGGTGCTCTGAGCACAGTCTGCATCTCCGAGAGGAGGAGAGCGGGGCGCGGGGAGGCTGAGAAGCCTGCCCGGGTCTAAGGGGCCGTAATGGGGCCGCAGCTGCAGCCACAGACAAGGTTGTTGCTGTCGACGGGCAGAGCTCAGGGCAGTGGCCTGAAGGAAGGGCAGTCGGGCAGACAGGGAGGTGGCCTCGCTGGCTCTGGGCCTCTTCACAGTGCAGGGGGTTCTGAGCAAGCGAACCTTGAGGTTGGGGCACAGGCGCGTGGGCTGGGGCTCGGTATGGAGATGTGGGCAGGAGCTTTGCCCACGTCTGGTCTAAGCGGGGAAGCAGCAGGAGGAGTCAGTTCCAGAGTGTGCCATGGGCTTCTAGCCCGGCACAGGCAAAACCCCGAGGAAATGTGACACGAACATCAGTACCCTGGCTGGCACTTCTAGCCCTCAGGGCAACCTCGCCTGGGCACATCCCCTTCTTGCAATGAGGAGAGGGGGTGGGGCGCAATGGCAAGGCCGCCTTGCTCAGGACTTTCGGGAGTGAGCACTGGCCTTAGAGAGGCAGCAGGCAGCCTTCCCGCACAGGCCGTGCTGCCCGGGGGGGAAGAAAAGCTTGGATCTTCTACCCAAAGAGCTCCTTGGATTTTCTCAGCAGTTGTAATATTACGGCGGGAACAGTCACCCTAGAGTAGCCTGTGCTTTCCAGAGAGAAGGAAGAACATTCCTCACCAAGGCCTGCCAGCTCCCTAATGACAAGGATATAGATATTCCCTCTGGCTAGGAGAGAAAGTGAGAAGAAATCATTCTTTAGCACCTGTCCAAATTGTGGTATACTGTATTAGATGATTTAACTTTGCATTTCAACCTACATTTGATTTTGCTCTGTGATTTATAGTAAAGCTGTAAAACAATGAGTCACAGTGTTTCCTTTGCCCACATAAGGATGACGCACAGCTGCCACACACAGCCCTGCCTCTCAGCCCATCTGGTGGCAGGCATTGCTAATCGATCATGATGCTCTTCCCCACTGGCCCCAGACATGGCCTCAGACCTCAGTGGGGCTCTCCAGGCTATCCGAGCTGGCACATGAGATGAAAACCATTTGCTATTCCTGCCAAAGAAGGAGGAGAGCCTGGGAAGAACAAAAAACAACTCAGGAGACAGATGTAACATCAGGTGACGGGAAAAATTACAGCAGAGAGAGCGTGCTAGCTGAGAGCTTTGCCAAGTAGACGGTTCCGGAGACGAATGAAAGAAACAGGCGAGGAGGATTTGAGAGAGCTGTTGATAGGCTGTAACTCTGGTAACCAAAAGGAAAGTGTTAATATGACACTTAACATATGGATGGTAACTCTCTAAGAGCTGAAAATAAGCTGGACAAAGAGAGCCGTAAGGGGGCTGGAGACAGTCGGTACACCCTTGTTGCATAAACATGCAAATGCTTAGCCCTGAACTCCATCACTGGAGAAACAAATGCAGGTACAGATGTGCATACCCGCAAACAAGCCCCTTCTAAGAGGACTGATGATAGTTAACAGGTGAGTGTCCATAATATATCAGGTATTGTGCCGGCTGTTTTTCACACACTGTGATATAGGAACTATTACTATCCCATTCTGCACATGCAGCAACTGAGGCTCATGCAGGTTCAATAACTTATCAAGATCAAACAGCTAGAAGACAACGGAATCAGGATTTGACTCTAAGCAGTATTACCCCAGCACCTCCCTAAATAAACGACTGCATCCCTATGTTAGAGCCCTACAAAGAATGGAAGAGAAGCTGGCCCAGGTTTTTGCGTGTCTAGGGAATTGCTGTTCTTACGTGTGTACTGTTTGCTCATTCGTTCTCCATTCCCTCACTCACATCCAGCACGTCTGCGCTGTGTGCATTGTGTGCCAGGCCCTGGGGAGGCGCTGGAGTCTCCAGATGAATAGTTAAGGGCCCTTAACTCACATAGCTTTACTGCCCTTTCTCTGAAATTGAAGGATTGTGCAGCAGCTACAGTAACTTAGACCTAGCCCTTCCCTTTAAGGCGAGGAAAGGGGAGCTTGGATTTGGGGATGGAAAGGATGAGAGACAGCCCAGGCCCACCCCACCCCACTCTGAGCCTCCCAGAGTCAGCTCAGCCCACCTCGTGCAGGCTCTTGCCTTGGCCAGGGTCAGCCCCTCCGGAATGTGCTGGGAGATCCAATTGCTTTTCTGATCAGGAGACTCCCCTGCACCCTGAGGACTGTGGTGTGCAGCCGAGTCCGAGAGCCACTCGGCTAGAGGAAGGTGCCACCTACGGCCGGTGCGAGGTGCAGCAGATGGGATTGCCGGCCACGTGGGGACCCTACCCTCTCCCAACGTGAGGGTGACGGGGCACGCGGTATCCACGGCTCTGTGACCGGCAGCATCCCCTGGGGGACGGTTTAAGGTTGGTGAATGGTGATTCCGCACCTCCACTCCCTGGAAGGCCTCAGGGACACGCACTTGCAAACTGCGCAGGACGGCTCTCTAGGCCGCAGGCCACGAGTGACACCAGTCAGCCAGCGTGGATGGCCCTGCAGCGACAGTAGTTTGGGTTTATTTCAGAGACAATTTTGAGGATCTGGCTCAAAAGCTTCAGCCAATTTTTAAGTTCGTTGTAAGTTCAAACTGGCTCAGTGCATTTTAGGGTCTTCCGCGGACCTTACCTCGGTTCCTACGTCTTATAAAGAGAAAAAACGACTTGGTTCTTGGTTTGAAAGCAGTTTGGGCCTTTGCAGGTGAATGGATGTTTGTAGTTCACGGTTTCCTGGGCTCAAGGCCCTAAGGACAGGGTTAATAGCAACATTAGTACAGTGTCCCATCTGGAGGATGGGGGAGACTACAGCACCATTCACCTAAACCCTCAGGGTGAGGAACATTCTGTGGAAGGGAGGGAAGGTCACCAGAGAAGAGAGGGGCAACTCCCACCCCAGAGCCCCTCCCAGTGTGACTGAGCTCCCCTGGTGTCCCCTAGGTCCCAGGAGTTCCAGAGGATGAATGAAGTGTGCACACAAACACAGCCCAGCAGAAGGTCAATGAAGACAGTTATAAAACGGTGCCTGGAAATGCAAAGATGAAAAGCAGAGCAATAGGAGGCCTCGGGTCAGCTTGGGCAGGTGACAAAAGAGGTTGGAGGATGACCTTCTGCTCCATTGACAAGTGACCTTGCAGAGCAGGTAGGTGACTTAACCACCTCCCCTAGAGCTCAAAAGCACAGTCCCCCAGGAAGGGGAGGGCGAGCAGGCCCTCCCTCCCGCCCAGGAACGGGGAGCTAAATGCGCTGTCTTCCCTCTCCCACTAGGTTTCATTTGTCCGGCTGCTAACGCTCTCCCGGCCGACCTGGGGACAGAAGTGTCTGTAAGGGACAGGCACCTGGAAATCCGCACTGAAGGGAGACCCAGCGGTGTGTCAAGGAGACTGCTTAGCCCACATGAAGAAGCTGCCAGGTCACCCCACCTGGAGTTGTCACTTCCTAGTTCCTCCTCATCTCATCTCATCTTGTCACAACCTTCTGTATTCATCGGTGGCCTGTCTCTCAACCCTGAGCACAAGCATGGGTCCTCCTGGGTGCATTTGCTGCCATGTCCCCAAGACGCGGAACAGATCCCATCCACAGTGGTGCTCGCAGCGTGTTCAACTAAACGCACGCATGAATGAAGCCACAAGTAGACAGAGAAGGATCCAGAACTCCACCCAGAGTCACAGGATTGATGACGGGGGAGAGTTGTAAGGAGGGATTCGGTGGGAGAGGGAGGACGCCACAGAACAGAGCCTGCGGTCCGAGCCGCCGCGCACCAGCCCTGGGCGGGGCTGTGACAAAGGCGCGGAGGGCGGTTTGGGCGCAGGAGCAGGAGGCAGCGAGGGCCGTCAGGGCGCAGGCAGTGGGGGGAGGAGGTTAAAGGAGAGAGAACCGTGAGCTGGGAGAGGAAAGCAGGCGGTGAGAGCCTCTCCCAAGCGGACCGCGGCAGGGCGTCCAGGTGGGCGCCATCTCCCGGGGCCGGACTCGCCCCTCCAATCCCAGCTCTGTGCCGGGGGAGATGAATCAGCCTTCCGACCTTCAGTTCCTGGTCTGTCCCACAGGGCAACAACAGCCCTGTGTCTGGGGGCTGCCCTGAGGGTTAGAGAGACGGTGTGGGTGGGTGGGAGCTTGGCTCGGGGCCTGTTCCTTTCTCCTCACAAGCTGCAGTCCCAAGCCAGCCCCTGCGGGGCCTTCCTGCGTCCCCAGCACACGCGGGTCTCCACTCCGCACAGGCGTCCTACCTGGAGGAGCCCCTGTGGGTAAGAGCTGGTGAGAGCCTGCGCCACTGCCGGCACCCTCAGGTGTGGCTGGGGGCTGAGCCGTTCCAGTCCACCTACACGGTTCACCAGACCGTCCCGCACACAGGTGGCTTTCTGCCTTCTGCATGGGTCTGCCACACTGGCGAGCATTTCCCATCAGCCCAGGCTGCTCTCCCTGGGTCCTGGTGTGCCTCTAGCGTCTGGGCCAGACGCTGCCCTCGGAGCAGCGTGAACAAACCCACGGCGCCACCGCGGGACCTCGAGGCTGCCTGCAGAAAGCGCCCAGCAGGCGGTCTGCAGCCGGCTCTGCCGGGTGCGGTGGGGCCCGCTGGCCGTGGTTTGCTGCCAAGGATGTGGGCGGAAGCAAGACCTCAATTTCTCAAAAACACATTAAGCATCTGTAAATTCAGCAAGTAAAAATGTCACTCCCAGACAGGATATTCTGAGAGCCGTTTCAAAGTCAAGGGTGCTTAAAACAGCCTATGAGCCTGCCCTGAGGAGTTTCTGGGATTCCTGGGGTGTCTCGCCCCCCACCTTCAGGTTGGGCCGCCCCAGCCTTGGGTGGAGAGGAGGCGTCCATCACAGAGCAGGCGTGGGCAGGGAGAACAGAGGTGAGAAACAGGCTCACTCACATGAGCTCAGGTAGCAGGGATTAGAAAAGGTGTCCTGGCCAAGGACAGGAAACCAAGGACACCCTGGCCACAGGGGTCTGGGCTGGACAGCTGTGTCCACCACTGCGTCTGTCTTCGGTGGTGCTGGGCCTCGCCCTCTCCGCTCTGGGGCAAATGCTCCCCCCCTGGCGGGGCAAGCGCAGCCTGCGTTGCTGCTGGCGTGTGAGCTCTCGGCCTTTCCGAGCGTCAGCGACGCGGTGGCGTGGCTGCTCTGCCACCGTGACGAGGACAGCACCGACTCACTTGGGGCCAGAGGCCGGGGTCACCTCCCAGCCGCGCTGCTCACCACCTGTGTGATCTCGAACATGGTGCCTCAGTTTCTCCTCAGTTAAATCAGAATAACAATTTTCTCTGTCTCAAAAGCTATTGTGCGTGTTCAGTGAATCGATTCATGAAAAACACTCAGAAGAGTGCGGGCGAAGGAGCGAGCGTGCACTGAAAAGCGTTAGTGAGCTCCACGGGGCTGCAAGCTCAGGTGCCCACAGGGCTGCATGGGTGACAGAAACCTCCGCACCAGGCACCGAGGGGTGCAATAGGACTCGGCGGGCACCTTGCCATGCTGAAGAGTACAAGCCCCAGCTAATTGATTCAAGCTTAATTTAAAGATAAAAACCACCAAGCAAGCAAATCTATCTGTAGGCCTGTGGGCCACCAGTTTGAAACTTGGCTCCGTGTAGACTGCAGATGGGTTCCTTGGGTCAGGTCTACCCCAGCCCGATTAGCTGGGTCCAGAGGTTTGGCAAGGGAGGATCCCGGCACAGTACAAACAGGGTTAGGGAAGGGCAGGTGGCCGAAGGTAGACTCTCTGAGAAAGGGATGTGACCAAGGCAGCTGTTTTAATACCTTCTCCTGCTGTGTTTGCAGCAAAGGGTAGGGAGGCCCTGAGCCAGCCACGTCCCTGCTGACACATGCAAGCTCACACTCATGCTCACAGGCGTGCCAGCAAGGGCACCCCTACACGCACACAGCCGTGGAGCACGTCAGGAAAGGAAACTGAGCACAATGGAATGCTGTCTGCCTTCACAAAACTACTGCTTCCTTTTTAGCTTTCATAGACTCTTTGAATCCAACAGCTGGGAAAGACCCCAGAAGTCATCTCTCTCTGCTTCCGCTTATTCCCAAAACCTCTCCCTAGCATCCCAGACCAGTTCCCTGCTGGACCTAGCATGTGTTTAATTCATCAGAATATTCCCAGCCGAGGGATTCCCAAAGTCATCTGAAAAGCAAAATTGGCCCATTATTATCAAAAGAAGGGGTGAGTAAGGGCGAAGAAATAAAAATAGCAATTGTCCACCCCAAGGATAACACTATTTCTTAAGAACAGTGCTAGACATTTCTGTCGACTAAAAGAAAAAGTTCTCCTGATACTCAAATGCACCCTGCTCGGCTCTTCCACCAATTCTACCCGTTGCTCTTAACTCTATCCGCGGGAGTCAAGAAGAAAAATCCTCTGTCATTGTGCGTTTGGGGTCACTCACATCTGTGCTTGAACAGCTTTTGCCTCTTGCAGTGACTGTGTGCAAACTGCTGGATCTTTCCAGTCCTGGCCTGGCACCACCGTGAGCAGTCAGCAAGGCGCGCACGCACCAGCTCCCCACGCACGTGCAGCTGGACCCCCGTCAGCTCCCCAGCCCCTTCCGCCGTTCCTTGGTGGCCTGGCTAGACACTTCCAGTTTCAGGGGATTTCTGCGGGCCTTTGCCTGCCTGCCTGGAATGTGCTCCCTCTTCTTTGGACAGTGGCCCTTGGTTTTGTGTGGAGGGAGCCGCGTTCCCCGCGGACACAGCCTGGCGCGACCGTCAGTCAGAGTGCCCTGCTCTCCACCGGCCAGGCGGAGCCAGCCAGCTGCTGTCCCTCAGGCCTCCATCCCGAACCACGTGACGCGGAGACACGGCACGGTGACTGGGGAGGTGGCCCGGCTTCCCGCCACCGCCGTGCCTTCGCTCCTCACGTCCTCCAGCCTCCCGGGTGACGGTGCTCGAGCCGCTGAGCCAGGTCTCTTCTGTTTGTTAGCGCGCATGCCCATGGCGTCTAACCAAGGAATGCTAACGGGACGTCCTGATGGGAACGGGTTTGAGCAGGAGCGACGCGTGTCCCTGTGGGAGCTCGGCAGGTGGATTCGGGCCCCATGGGGGTGTGACTAACTGGGGAAAGAGCCCGCTGAAGGAGGACGCCCGCGCCTGTGTGGCCCGCCGACGCGTTTGGAGGCCAGCCTCCACTGAGAACATGCCGTGAGTCGGCCGTGCTGAGCAGTCTTGTGCCCGGCCTCACCCAGTCCTCAAGGAGACGCCGCTGATATCACTGCAACCCCGTTTTCCAGATGCGGAGACAGGTTCCGAGAGGGATCTTGCTCAGGATCATACATGGGATTCCAACCCAAGTCCATCCGAGCCTGTGTAGCTCTCAGCCCCTGTGCTTTTGGGTTTGGGGTTAAGACCTCAAATACCTCAAGAATCTGGAGGCACTCCAGTGGTGGGGAGCAGGGATAGGTCCGGGAGGGGAGGCTGGGAGGAAGTCAAGTCCTGTTACTTGTTCTAAGATTAAGGATGTTTTTATGGACTTCAGGGACCAAGGCCCCAGCCGGTTCTGTTAATCTGGAAGGGTCCTCTCCCCATCATACTAAGCTGACTGTCCAATAAATGCCAGGACCCTGCCAAGGCCCAGCCATCCTCTGGCACACAGCCAGGCACCGGGGGCTGTGGTGCCCAGCACCAGAGACGGGTCAGACAGGCCACGGCCCAGGGCTGGGGGGCAAAGCAGGTACCGTCCTCACCCAGGGACACCCTGCGTCCAGATGGGCCAGGCTGCTCCCACACGTGCAGCCCGAGCAAAGCCTCTACACAGGGAGCTGCCAGGAAATTTACCCCATTTCTTTAGGTTGCAGAGTCTGTGGGCCAAGAAAAGGAAGATACTTAGTTAGCATCGCCCCGTCTACTGAGTACTTCCTGTGTACGGGACCCTTAGTCATCCTCCACCGACTTCAGCCCATGTAACCCTGCGTAGCCTTAGGAGGGACTCTCTCTGTCTCCCTCTCTCTCTCCCTCTCTCTCTCCCTCTCTGTCTCTGTCTGTCTCTCTCTCTCC